CAGAAAGTGAATCTTGCCATTTTGTAGTCACCACCAGAGAGTTTGTCTAATACCTCTGTTTGCGCACTTGTGACCCCCAAAGTGAATATGAGGTCGAGTATATTGGTCGCTCTTGTTGGCTCAGTAACCCAATGGATCCAGCCAACAATTCTGAGCAAAGAAAGGAAAGCTGTATCTGTAGACGACGATGGTTGAGAGGACCAGTTAATCTTTGGTAGGTTAAAATCACCAGCAATTATCTTCTGTCTGTGTGGCATCTCAGCAACAAACTCGAAGGCTGAAGTGATGATGTTAACACTCGCATTTGCCGCAGTTGGCGAGTTGTAAACACATCCGAGTAAAATGTGAGAACCTGTTCCTGAAACGGACAACCAAAGAGATTCGGGAACATTTGTTAGCTGTGGATGATCAAGAAGTATTTCTGTATAACCACTTTAGACCAAGTTGTCATCATATAGTAGCTTTACCCGGCCGACAACAAATTTGATCGGCAATGATCCCCTTGTTTCAAGTCATGCCATGCAGTTCAGCCATACTGAACTTCATGTAACGAAAACCAACAAGTTTTGCCTTCATATTTTGACATGACCATCAGTCCAGCTTTTTGTAAAACAAAAGGTAAGACCCGGTGGGATATTTATTTATGACAGGTATCGGCTTCACTCTGAATACCGAACTGCAAATTCATGCGATCATTATGACGTTCACAGACAAAACTCATCCTTGTAAGAAAAGACTTTCAATGTTAAGCGCAAGACCAACAAAAGACCACTGGTGCTCTTCAGCAACATCCAGGATTTGTCACTCATCGCTGCGAGAGTAATCTTCAAACACAAATGTCCATCGTACACCCCCTGTCACGAAGAAAACAACGAAAGATTGAATATAAATATGGGTTGTCTCTCACAACTAGTCTGCTCAAGAGAAGGGCACCAGTGCCAAGTCATCAGGATCCACACACCCACACCCACACACACACATTATACACGTTAGCTAGAAGTGGGAAACACTTCAGCTACTGTGCCGCAATACATAAAAGAAAAAGAGAATAAAATGCAACAGATGCAAGGCAGCTCAGCTACCGGTAACGGATGGGCATCGTTCCGGTAGGCTACCTGTCGGCTATTATGCAGCAGAAAAAAATAATTTACTATGCAAAATTCTAAAATGCTCAATAAAGAGATCGTGGTTGGAGGGAGAGGCTAAGAGGGATGGGGTGTGACAAAGGAAACTCACAGCACCAACGCTACTGAGGTCGGCTCCTAGCCATATCAACAAGTGTATCCAACCAAAATTGGCCGCTTGGTTGGACATGGGCTTGTCTGTAGGACAGGAATGACGCTGTGCGTTTACATATAAGTTGAAACTAGAAGATGAAAGCCTAGCAAAGCAAAGTGGGGGAGGGCCAAGAATTGGGGGGTTGAAAACAGGGGGATCAAGATGAAGTTGGAACGGGACCATAAGACAGAAAAAGCGTAAGAGGGGGAATAAGAAGATGGAAAGGCTTGAGCAGTAGCATCCAAACCCCTCTCCACCCTGCTCGATGCAGCAAACAGGGCACCGTTGATTATCCTGTGCGGTGGCCAGAGCATCAAGAAACCGTTTGAAGAGAAATTCATTGTATTGCATGGGCAGGATACTGTCAGGTTGTCCAAGCCTAGACAGAAGATCGATGAGGGTTCACAATCAAAGCTTTTGGTTCCAAAACTTGACCGCAACATAGCGGGTTTGGCTGTAGACTACAAAAAGTCCGTTTTAAGTAATAAGGAGCCGCCCAAATTCCAACCGCCAACCTGGAGGACCAGGAGGCTGAGTTTGTCTGGCCTCTAACCATTGACCAATGTGGCATGAGTGGCTCTGAAGGTGCAAAAAAGCACCACTCAGCATAGCTCAATGGATCGCTGAGACACGCAAACCATCGCACCACGGTAAGGTCCAGCCTCATTGTGATGGCTTCAGGATCCAGATTGACAAAACTTACCAGCTGTCTTGAAATCCCTTGAACCAGGTCCACCCATCCCAAAAACCACAGAGAGGACAGCAAAATTGCAAAAGTTACCGAACCTGTACAAAAATAAAGGCGCTGCTCTCTGTCCATCAATATGGGACTTTCATCAGCAAAAACACATTGACTTTCCACGCAAAAAACTGTTCTTACTAATGTCCTGTCAGAATTAGCAAATGCCAGCATTTCACCCTTTCCTTTGTTTGTGTCATACACTACCTCTCGGAAACAGGTTAATTTATCTGGCCAACGACCCGAATAAAAATCTGAATTGAATTTCGTTTGCTTTATGCTCACCTATGGTCACTTCTCCAGTTGCATCTATTTTTGTTGTTATCTTTCCTTCCTTTTGTCTTATGAAAGGTGCACGAGTTTGTTACACCCAGTTAGTGAGGATTGTAGGAAAAATGTTGCAACCTTAGTAAAAGAGATACTTTTGCATTGATGGTAACTGACAAATGAATATTTTCACTGTAACTATCCGGTCTGTGACGAACTGCGTCTTCGTGTACTCGGTGTGTTCGCATCACAATACCAACGGCTTCGTGATCTTGCTCACATACCGGATACTAACTGAAAGCAAGCGTCCACGTACATCACTGTTGACCCTAGCTCCTTACAAACAAAGCCGAGGCAACCGCCTGAAAGTAATGACGTGACACTCCCGTCTGAATGGTAGAAAGTATTTTTACTCACTTACAATCTGTTCTGACTGGAATGCATGATCAAGATATGTGGTGAACACACCAAACATGACGACATTTGAAAGACTCTTAGGCTTTCGTCTTAGTGATAAACGCTACACAATCGTTTACTAAAGCGCAATGGTTTAACCACTGATACTTCATGTTCCACGTTGCAACATTATGATTTTAATTTTCTTTTGCATCTCTATCCTGTGGGTCTTGGAAAGTTATGCCTTTTATCATATCATACACTATTGAACTATTGAAGGAGTAGGTGGAGTATGCCTGAATTCTTATCAGGGATGCTTAAGTTGTCATCAAACAAAGATGGTCTTCAGGTGTATTACACCCAGTCAGTGGGGAAAGGGTTTAAAGACATTTAATAGAGTCCCTAAAACAGTTATAGCCCGATCCAAACCCAAGATAAAATCCAAAGTTGACCGAGGATGTAATTCTTTGATGACAGAAAATCCTCACACAAATGGAAGATTCATCGCTGCCACCTCATTTAGGATAGTATGTTGTTCATTCAGTAATGGTCAACAGGGGCATTATAAGCAACTTAGGAATGGGCGGATAAGTGTAAACAGTTGACGGCAAGTTGCTTTTATGTAGGAGTGAAAAAACACATCTCGAGTAGTAATGCAGGTTTAGACCAATAAACTGAACACACTAAAATAGGTAAAAGAAGGCATAAGCTGAATTTCCTACTTTTAACTATGTGACGAGTTCAACGAATGTCGAGGAGGAAGTCTAAGTTACTTTTCATGTCAAGTCATCTGAGAAAACTAGAATTAGGTGGCAAAACGTAGGCTCTAAAAATTGTCTTGTGCGCCGTTAGACTGAATCTAGCAAAATGAAATACAAGCATAGTAAACCGGAAGCACTGACAAATGTCTGAAGAAAAATGAGACCATATGAGCACATGGGTCTCATGTGCCACAGAGAGCGGCATCATCCGTGCAAGGGCTGAAAGTACAAAGAATCGTTTACTATGTGTTAGGTGGCCGCAACGAATGCACTCCGAGACATGATTTCCAGAATTGAAATGTGTTTGAGGTAAGCCACGCGACAAGCTGACAAAATCAGTTCAGCATCATTATACGGGTTGCTATGGTGTAGGCACTAACGGGGCCACAGCTAGCTACTATAGATGGCAAACAGGTATGGATGTGAGTGGACAGGTGATGGTTAATCGACAAAGATTAAGAGGTGCGCCCCAAAAATATAACCATCCTCTGTCATTGGTATACTCCGGTCCGGCAGGTTGTCTTTTACTTCCCCTCGTCTGAATTCGACGGAGCACCAGGGCTACAGGAGATCCACAGTGGCAGTACGTTCAGAAGGTACACGATCACCAAGGAAAAGTAAGTTGAAACGCAAAACTGGGTCTGAAGTACCCGCTGTTGGATTGTGGCACGCGCACTTTGGGACTTCGGATTAGCTTGAACTGGACTTCGTTCCTTCCAATTATCGGGGCCGCTTTGCCAAGCGGTGCTCATGCAGTCGATTGGTCTGTCGATCAACACATCAGCCGTGAATCACTAGATCCCGAGTTCCACCCCAGCTCAGGCTATCTTTATCTGATGGGTCCAGACGAGAACGAAAGCGACCATACGATGTCAGGGTTGAGTGGAGTAACACTGAAAACCCCCTAAGTTGAGATGCAATTGAAGCAGGTTACATGTAGGTGGGAACATTTTTAGTAGTAGAATGATCAGGATTCATGAGGAATCCACATCAAAATGTGGAAAGACTTGAAATGAATGACCCTAAACGCGGTGTACGTTTCGGCAGGTTAAATACGCCAACATACCGAGAAAGGCTATGTGATAAGCGAACTGAACATCATGTTGATATCCAGAAGTAGCCACGCGGTAACCTTCTACAAGTGTAGTTAGGTCCATCAACTAGTTCACCAACTTAACCAACAGCTCAGCCACCGGTGTTCCGATTAAATGGGTGTGCCTATTGTTTTGTGTGACAATGGGGAGGTCAGCCATTAGCAACTATGCAAGGTGTTCCCACGATCCCATCCCGGGAAGGCAGGATAAACCCCAAAGTTACTCTGGACTCGGTGGGTCGGGAGAAGTGGAAATCAAGAATGATTCATGGAAGATTAAATAGGCAATGGAAAATGAAACGTTAACAAATAGGAGGAACCGGTACGGTGAACAGGAATTTAAGACCATTAGGCTATTTGACCATGAATATGCGCATGCTGTAATGTCTTAATTCACTTTCACTCTGCTCGGGTATGCATGTAATGGTCAGTAAAGAGAGTACTTATGGAAATGGTTATTTTTCAGAAAGCAGAAGCCCTGTTGCTCTCGCGAGAATCCATGTCGAGTCGAGTCCGTGAAGAAGGAAAATTCGAACACACAGAGAAGCTGGAGATTATCACCGATGAAGCAGAACGCCCTCCACCACCGCAAGTGATATCAAAAACAAGGACTTCTGTGACTTTAGTGACCAAACCATGGACAGCGAAGACTGGCGGTCCGGTAAGCAAGGTGGCTTGCATGTTAAAATGGATCTACTCCGCCGCATAAATTTTCAACTTTTCTAGGTTGTCTCATTAAAAACAGTACGCGTAATCCTTTAGAATCACAAGGGTTTCTTTTAACTTCGCAAGTGAATCGAAGTACTTAACAAGGAAATAAGAGTCAGTGGCATACATTAAGAATTTCTAAGGTTTCAGCTGTCATATTATCACTACACACTAGGACGTTATGTGTATGGTGACTCTTTTGAAAGATATCTCGAAGTGGGAATCCGAGAACCCATATCTAGCACCAGTGAAGTCTAGTGTGAACACGATAAAGTTTGACGTCTGGACCAAATCTAAGACCAGCGCTCACACTTAACCAAACTAGAGCTATCGTCCTAACTTTCCTATGCTTCACTGCTGAACTCAAGATGTGCCTGGCGACCAGGTATCCGGCCGACGGCGCAATACTCGAAAACCTCGTTTGCGGAATCGCATCACCTCCAACGGCGGTCTGAAGTAAGGTTGCGTTCGGTACTTCAAGCATACTGCAGGTATTGCAAGACCTAGCGACCACTTGATACTGTTCCCTGCTAGTTCGTTGTCCTTCAAGCGCACATTAAAGGAACTGATTAGCATTTGGCGATCCACAGATTGATCAAATTGAATTTACTTTGATCAGTCCCTATGATGCTGCAATCAAAGATCTAAAAGCTGTACAGAAACAACAAGGACAAACATTTGGACTTCATCATTCAAACCTCTCAGGGAGGCATTGGTTCAGTCCTGCAGAACGGACCCTCGAAATCGATGACTGCGCATGCAGTGGTGCGTGCACCAAACGCAGGTACAGTTGCTGGCGCATTTCGGTCAAACAGAATTAACCGAATGGATAGCTGGAAGACTGAGGGACATGCTCGGATTTCGCAGAGGAGTGCAATTTGCGGCATTGGAGGTGCTAGTCTGCTTGATTACCTGGTACCGTCGTATCACCTCGAACCCCAGAGAATTGTATGCCGAAAATGCATCATAAAGTGTCCATATATATATATATATATATATATATATATATATATATATATATATATATATATATAAAGTAACAGATTACCACAACTTATGGACAGACATAATAATACAACAAGTATAAGGAAATAGCGAATTTAAATAATGTAAAACTGGAGTCATGGTGGTAGAGTCACACAACATGTTCGTCACTGCTCACTGTTTCTTGACATGTCCGATAGGGTTTCCAGCCGAGTGTGCTCATCGTACTTGAGCCCCCAACCGAGGAGTCGAGTTTGCCCGACCCAGACAAAATGTGAAGTCAGTGCCTTCATGCTTTTGGCCGAAGTCATTCGCTGGCCACTTTGTCTTCGCTTTCAGGCGACTGATGTGCGCGCAGAGTGCACGGTTACGCAAACGCTCAGGGGGCATGCGAAACACGTGCCCAAGCCACCGAAGCCTATGCAGTGAAATTATACGGTACAGCGACCGGCAAACTCTGTTCGTTTTGAAAGTCCTTCGGCGAACATCCTCATTATTAACGTGGTGTTGCCACCATACACCAGCAATGCTCCGAAGGGAGCGGTGATTAAAGACAGACAGACTCTGAACGTCCTTTGCGCGAACAGGCCAATTCACGCGACCGAAGAGCAGGGCCGCTGTCACCGTTGCATTGTAGACTCGACCCCTCAATGTTAAACTCAGGTCGCGGCGACGTCAGAGATGACAGAGATTAGCAAACATAACCCGGGCCTTAGAAACGCGCAAGGAGACCTCAGCCGTTAAACCGTAAGCGCTGATGCAGCTTCCGAGGTAAACGAACTAGTCTACTAGTTCCTATGAATGGCCTGAAGAGGTATGGATAAAAGCAGTGCGTAGCCACTCCTGCACAAATACCTTACACTTCAAAGGGGCAAAGTTCCTTCTAAACTGGGAGGCAGACACCGCCAACCTGCACAGGACATTTTGCGTGGCCTATGAAGAATCGCAAATTACAGCGATATCATATGCATACTTCAAATCGCAAAGTTGGTTCCCCGGAAGGAGTTCAACGCTGCACGGTCCACAATGCTCCAGAGCGCTTTCCAGAATGTCATCAATAGGAAATTGAACAGGAAGGGTGACGCAGAGCAGCCCTGTCTCACGCCACTGGTGATACTAAAGGACGGTGAAAGTTCGCTGTACACCCGCACTCGGCTCGAGGTTCGAGAGTAGATGACTCGCAGGAGATTGACATATTTATCAGGCATCCCACTTCTCAAGAGACAGCTCCAGAGAGTAGCTCGGTCAGTTGAGGCAAACGCGGCTCTTATGTCTAAGAAGACAACGATAGTTAGCTTGCCAAACGTTCCACGATGAACAATGAACAATGAACAATGATTTATGACGGGTAAAAAAGCAGGTGCTTGACATGTCCCGTAGGGTGGAGAGCGTGACAAAAAAGATAGCTAAGGGATAATGTTGTCAGTTCGGGCGCTTACAGATGTAACTGCATTTTCGTATAAAGGGGGTTCGAAACGAGAATATACGCACACAAAGCAACAGGAGAGTGGTTATTGTTCACATCATAGGCGAGAAAAATTTAAAAAAAAACGATAGCAAGGACAACGCTTACTTGTGTGCGATTATCGTCGGTCGACAGGATACAGAAATCCAGTGTCTATAGTATTAGTGTTTATCAAATTTCGTGCAAGGCGTTTGGAGTGACTCGCTCTCGAGTAGGGTTATGGCACTAGCCCCTGTCTGTTGTGCATTAGTGCCAGCATCTGGTGGTCATGAGCTATAGCACGTAGTGTACATGTGACAGGGTATCGTCAAGGCGTTTTTTGAAAAGGGATAGGGTGGATGCATTAATTACATGTTCGGGGAGGGCGTTCCAAGGCTGGGACACTCGAAGGGAAAAATAGTTTCGCCGACATTCCAGGCGGCTGTACTGCGTGACTAACTTAAACTGGTGACCTCTTAGCGAGGTGTTTTGACTGAGTATTAGAAGGGAATGGCATGGGTGGTTGGGGTCTCTCAGGATTAGGTACACCATTATGAGATCGCCCCTTAGCCGCCGATAATGTCCGCTGTAGATTTTAAGGGTCTTCAGCCTGAGTGGGTAGGGGAGGCTGGTCAAACCTCTGACGCTCTTCGTTGCCCTACGCTGTGCAGTATCGAGCGCGGTGAGATGGTGCTTGAGCCAGGGTTGCCACGCTTGAATAGCGTATTCCGCGTGCGGCCTCACGTACGCGCTAAGCATTTTTGGAAAGATCGAAGGGTCAAACTTCCCGAAGGCTCTGCGAAGAAGGCCGAGGTACTGGTTTGCTTTCTTAGCTGCCTTTTCAGTCTGCCTCGAACAACCGAGGTCATCTTGAACTATCACGCCGAGATCGCACTCGTGAGAAGCCCGCTGTAGAATTTTTGATCCTAGGTGGTAGCAGTGCAAACTCTTGTGTCGTATACTGAGAACCTTGCACTTGGTGACGTTGAAATGCAGCATGTTGTCGATGGACCATGTGTACGCTTTGTCCAGGTCCTCTTGTAACAATGCGTGATCCTCCACTTCAGCTATAGTGCGCCATACCTTTAGGTCATCAGCAAATAGCAAGCAGTTAGAAGACAGCACACTCGCGAGATCATTTATGAAGACCAGGAACAGGCGGGGTCTAAGTACCGAGCCTTGAGGTACGCCGCACTGAACTTCGATGGATTCTGATAGGTTGCTCCTAACCTTAACATTCAGGTGACGTTGTAGGAGAAAGTCTCCTATCCAGCCTAGAACAGGATCGCCGATTCCATATTTCTGGAGTTTGTGGAGGAGAATGCGATGGTCTATGCTGTCGAATGCCTTTGAGAAATCCCAGTAGGCCGCGTCGATTCCAACACCAGCGTCCACAGATTCCGTCCAGTTTGCACGAGCAATCAAGAGATTAGTTGTACAGGAGCGATTTCTGCGAAATCCATGCTGTTCCGGAACGAGAATTTGGTTGTTCTCCAGGTACCCCATTAAAGCCTCAGCTACAATGGACTCCATAACCTTGGAGATCACAGGAAGGAGTGTTATCGGGCGATAATTTGCTGGATCAGCACGACTGCCACTTTTGTAGATAGGCGTGATGATTCCGTGCTTCCACATCGTGGGGACGTGCACCTCGTTCATACATCGTTGAAAGAAAATTGCTAATGGTCCTGCCAAACTCATGGCAGCAACTTTCAACGCCTTCGAGCGAATGCCGTCCGCACCCGGGGAGCTGAACTCGCGCAGAGACATCAGCCTCTTCAGTACAGCTGCGGAGGTAAACGATATGTGGTTTAGCCCTGATGGCGGCGTTATCTGCTTAGGCAGGATGTACGGTGATTGCTCGCTTTGTAAGGTACGGCCAAATTGTTGTCCAAGAAGATTGGCTGCCTCTTGTGCTGTTTGGGCTAAACCGTATGCTGTGTGCAGGGCAGGAATACCGCGCTTAACACGGCGCAAATTGTTTACGTGCCTGTATAGCAGCTTGGGATTGGAGCTAAACATTTCCGCTAGACTTTGTTGGTTCTTAAGTTTATCCTCTCGAACGAGTTTGACACAGTGGTTTCTGTGTATTGTGTAGACATCCCAGGTATGATCGTTCGGGGAGGCTATATAGGTGTGCCATGCCGAGTCCCTTAATGACATGCACTTACGTGTCCTGCTCCTTACGAAGGACTTCATCTTTTTGGTCCGGTAGCATTTGGTTTCAGATGTCCGTGCCACGAGCTTGGTGAATATGTTGACGAATTCACCGCAGGCTACCTCAGGCGTTAATTCAGCTAAGAACGACCAGCTGGTTGCATCAATTAGGTCGGACAGGTCTTCATAGTTGGTTATGACACGATATTCCTCGGCATGCTCTTTAGGATAATCCGCGTAGCACATGTAATGAAACAATAGCGTCGCATGATCACTGCGGCCCAAAGGAGTATCGGTTATCACTCTCTCGACCATTAATTCTTCATTGGTGAATATTCGGTCCAAAATGGATGGTCTGTCAGTTCCCC